ACTCCCACATTTTAATATTACGAGTGTAGTAACCTAGCCTAACCTAGGCTAAAATAGCCTGAACTATACTGACCTGACCTATCCTAACGTAATATTCGACACGTCAAAATTCAACCCCCCCTTTGGTTTTTCAAACTGGAACGTATGGGTAATCGAATTTTCATGTTCACTAGAATTATTTAACACCGTCGCTGCTGTCCTTTTTTTGCCTTCTTTTTTTTTCAAAAAATATTTCCTATCCGCAACCATCAACCCCGTCCTACCCTCCTCAGCATGCGTTGTGGTCGCTATGCCAAGATCGATTTTACCACCGTAATCCTTTCCGTGTAATGGGATTTCAGCGGCAACCTCACCACCCACCGCCACGTCTTTGTCGAAACCCACCCTTATCCATACACGTTGAAATATACCCAAGGGTGTATTTATACAGTGTTATTCACATTAAACACACCAGCTGAAGTTGGCCGCGAATGAAAAATTCTGATAAACCAGACAGGGTGACCACGTTAAGCAAACGAAAGAATGCGAAGTTAACGACGTAAGGAACGTTCATGACGTTAACCTTTAAATTTCTTTACGAGGACACCCTGTTCCGCTCGATGGAATCGCTCATTTGCGGCCAACTTCAGCGGGTGCGTCTGCCGCGAATAATCCCGTGTATTATGGACACACAGGACGCAATACGTATAAATTTTGTATAGAATGAATTTTGCTTGGTTTTGTAAATAAATTATTAATCAGGAAATATGCAGAACATTGATTTTATCGTTACACAAGGGACACGCGAATTTATTGATAGAAGTGAATTAAGTAACAAAGCCTATGGTTCGATAAATACGAATACTCGTGTTAGAGTAACAAGTCAAAATAGTGATAGAAAATTTCACTCGTGCTTCACTTATAGGGGATTGAATTCGCGAGGTAACTTTTAACTGGCATCGACGAATTATTCTGTCCATGTGTATTTACATTTATTTTCCTATACAACTGTTGGCTGAATGGCGCACTGAAGTATTGCGTCTAGATTCAAAAAACTTTACGTATACCGGAGACGCATTGAGTGCAACGGTAAGGCTGGCCTTTCAAGTAACGAGTGGCGATACCATTTCTATAGAGATCAAGTACACCAGGGTTGGTACGTCTGAATGAGGTAAAGTCTCTAGGGCATTCTTTTTTTTCCCCTATGGGTAATGCGCATAGAGCTTCATATGGTGTTTATGGAAATGACAGCCACTCTTGACGTTACGCGTCATCATCGTTACGCTGCAAATAATATATCGAGACAAAACGAAAATATCAATTTAACGGGTGGCGAATATATAAAAAACAAAAATTAATTCTTTGAAGGGCAATTTTTTAACATGAGTGACGGAGATTGGAAAATTTTTTTATAAATATAAATAGGGCATGTCGGGGATGAAAAATGAAAGTGGTCTAATTACATCCAGTGGTGACATTTTGAGTGAATATAGGAATAACGTAAATACTGTTTTGATTTCTACTCTACGTATATGTATAGGGTGTATAGGGTATAACGCATGTATATACATGTATAGGGTGACCTATTTTTTTTTGACTAAATACAGTCAAATAATCTTAATGGTCGTCTTGACCAAGTGACTTCCGGTGAAAAATTGAATTGACGTTTTTTTGACTTTGCTGTCAGTATTGGTTTGTACATAATTTGGAATAATCGATAAACTGCAAATTTCCTGCACTCTCTCTCTCTCTCTCTCTCTCTCTCTCTCTAACAGACCCCTACCTCTCTCCGTAAGTCCGCTTATGGGTAAAAACTAATTTCCGCCTCGAAATCCGATTTAACCGCTGCCGATTGCTTCATTCAAAATTCAGTTTTGATCTGGTTACTCCGTTTGGCTTTGAATGTCCATATCAATCACTCTCGATGCAGTTTCCAATATGTCGATGAACGATGTCGGGTTAATCTCGGAAATTTATCAACGATTACATTGGCCAATTAAATGGGTACGCCTTGCAGGGGATCGATAAAGCACCTAAAGTTTGTCACTTGAAAACTCGCGCAGTTGCCTGCACGTGCTCGAAGGGCCAAACGGAAAATTAATTCAACTAATTAACATTTCAGATCACGTTCATTAGCTAGGTAGAATTTGCGGCAAGCTAATCGCACCGAAGTAAGTCACAAGATTAAGTCGGTACGCGACCAATGATAACTGAGATCGATCATAGAAAAAATCATTAACTATAATTAATTGTTGATATAAAAAATATTTTTGTTACTCAAAGTAATTTGCCATACAAATTTTACGGCCACGAATAACGCATTTTCTGTACGATGTGGTATGTCCTGTTAAGAAAATTTTTTTACACGTCGTCTTATTAATGAAATTAGCTTTGCTGTAACGTCGTTTTTCAAATTTACCGGTGAGTCTCTCTCAAGAGTTAGCTTGCCCATTAATACCGTCGACGTAATCAAGGAGAGTGTATCCCTACCCACGTGCCCTCCCCCCCTCCCCCCCTCCCCCCCAATACCATAATTCCTCGTAATGACTTCGTAAAGTAGAAAATATCGTAAAGCCCGAGATGTCCACAGCAGTTTGAGAACTTAAAGCTGCGCGCGGAACTTAAGATGCATGAAAAACAAAAAAGATTAAAAAATAAGTAATAGACAATGTCGTTATAGTAATTCTTCGTTATCGCGATAATATTTTATTTAAATATTTTGATCTTCTTCGCTCCCCCCTCCCACCTTCAACCCCTTAAAAAAAAATCTTCAACGTCGACGTGTCAGTGCAAAAGTAATGGAATAAATAAATTCCTAAGAAATGAATAAAAAATCGTATTTCGTATGCATGTTACTTTTTTTCGATTCAAATTTCCCGCCATGGTTTCTTTTTACAACAATCCTGAAGTATCGTTAAAACGATGACGCGAGTTTGACAATATCCCGCAAAGTATCCTGTGAGCTGTGTTCCTAAGAGCACGGAAATTCTCCCTCGAGGCTTTTGCAGTCTCCGGACGGCGCTCGGCGTCTTTTTCAAAGTTTTATAAGAAAAAAAAGAAAAATTGAAAAAATCACAACCCCATTTCACAATCTCGCTGTCGGCCACCTGAAAAGTGGAAAGTTAACCAAAAACTCTGGGCATCTAGAAAGCCGCGACCATTTGTAGAACCCCTACCACCCCCAGCCACCCCTAAGCCCCCCTTGCCACAACCCTTTCATAAAACTCAAGTATTTTAAATCGATCGATCACTCCCGGCATTCTTTGTCATTCGATACCGCAATTCACATGAATCCCGTTGCGCTAATTAGAATTTCTAGGTAAACCCGTGAAAACATACATACGCAATGCGCAAATGTAATATATATAGTTAACGCAAACCAATATGTTATCCGATAGCAGATAGAATCCGTCCGATTAAATTAATTGGATCGGTATGGTCACTATCGACCTCATCAATTCCATCGATTAGGACCCTATAAAATGAATTATAAAATTTCACAAAAAAAATGTTCACTTCCTTATATCGATACAAACTCTAAAAAAATTGTTCTTTACCCTCAATAATGTTTCCCAATAAATAATATAAGTCTTGGCCCAATTAATTATCTACGATATTTTATTCACGAGCAACGCAGATTCACTTAATCAATGGAACCTGTCACAAGCAGTCGGATCTGCAAAGAACGTTTCGTGAATATAATATTTCATACGACTGTATCGACCATTCACCAGCGAAGCACTGCGAGCGTGAAAGTCCAAAGAAAAAAAAAAGGTTTTCCGTCAAGACGCAAACTCGTAACTGGAACAGAGTGAAGAAAAGATAATTAATTTGGCAGATTCAACGAAGCAGAAAGTCCTCGATCAAGGGAAACTGATTATTTGCTCAGGCGAGTCCACGGTATTCTGAAAAATCTCAAAGAAAATGTATATTTACAATCGAACAATCGTCAATTCTTTTGCGAAGCTTTTCCGAAGCTGAATTAATCGCATGCAAACCAAAAAAAAAAAAACATATCGAACGACTTTTTATCACAAATCAAATACTTCAACCTGAACTCAGCTGCGAGAGGAACATTTATTACGTGAAGGTCGATTTAAATTTTTCAATTCATTTCGCGGGAATTCTTGGTAGACGGGAAACATATGGTTCTTGTGATAGGTGCATGCTTGTGCATACAAATATATATATGTCAGGCGATAGTTTCCAGGCCATGCGGCATTCACAACAGCAAGCTAATGGTTTTTTTTTTTTTTAAAACTAGACCTTGGGACATGTAGCATTGGAATTCTAACCGAATCTAACCTAACGAACTACTTCTTAGCCCATCACAAGTCGGAGTGTCCAGCATCAAAAATTTGTTGGGAAATTCGGTGTGAGTGCCGCCAAATGGCTCTGGAAGTATACGTTACATATAGGATTTTTCCAGGTCCACCCTAGAAAATACGAAAAGTCCTCATAACTGCTAATACATAACAAAAAAGGTCTTGGAAACCACCTTGTGAAATATTTATATACAGGTATGCATTTCTAAACAGTGTAATGAACTTTTCCGAAAGAATTCCCATATAGAGAACCTGACTGTTTTACGGTTGACGTTAACATCACATGGCATGATGATTATCCTGGAAGACTATTGGACATTTCAAGGGTACCTGAGACTATATATATATATATATTTGTACTATACTATATATGTACTAGACATTATATATATTGAATATATATAGTATGTATATATACATATACCCTTTACGCGTCGTTGGAGTCTCGCCCGGTTCTCGAATAATCGTTACGCGGTTCACGTCGTCTCGAGTGCAGAGGGTGACACTCGGTTTCGACTTGCGTAGTTACACTACACACACGATGCACAGGCGAACGAAGATTTAACCGGGTTAAACCCAAGTTTAACCCTTCCTCGTATATACTCGCCGGATTATCGGGATACTCCTGAGCGATAACGTTGTGACGTAAATGGTCGTTATGCACGCTTACGAAGATGATCCTTTGTTCCTTTTCAGAATTATGTGAAGAGTGGGCCCTGGCCAATAGTCGTGAATGCGTCGAGGGGGGTGGCGGTGGCAGTGCACCGGGACAGGATGACGATGAAGATGCACCGGAAGTGACGTTTACGCTGAAATATTTAGGAAGCACTTTGGTTGAAACACCCTCTAGCGAAGAAGCCACTGCCGAGGCCATTAAGACAGTCATCACTATGGTATGTATGAATAAAATTTTTGAGAAATTTTGAAAGAACTTTTTTTTCAATATTTCGTCTTTATCGTTGGAATTTATATTTACTCCGGATGCTCGTTTCTATATCTATATTTTTTGTTACTGGTTTTTGTGAAAAAAAAATATTTCACCGGATACGGCAGATTCGAAAGTGTTCCGGTTTTTCGTGTTGGTATCCGCATTCTCTTTTATGAGTATATATACTGCTGGATATACAATATATATTAATACTGAAGTATCCTTGAGCGATGGACATAAATTCTTATCAAAGCACTTTTCACGACTTGGGACGATCTTTACGTCAAGGTGATCTACAATTTGTAATAAAATACAGTAAGTGGATGTACGGTGGAAAAGAAAAAATGGTCCATTATTACTTTATTTCTGGTTACCTATTCAGGTAAACTATTTATTATGGAAAATAATAAAATTAAAGTAAATTACTAAAGAAGGATATTTCGCGAATGTCCTGTGAGAAAGAAAAATTTCAATTTAAATTTTCAATTTGAATTTCAAAATAATTCATCTGCGAGGTTACAATATTCGAATAACGGCAGATCAAACAGTTACGTAAGGACGCAGGATATTTGACGAGAGGTAATAAAAAGAAAAGTAGCTTTTGTGCTTTGGCGTGCTTTGAAGTTATTAATAGGTATATACTCTCGCGAAGCTGTAACAAAATAAAAGTCTACGAGCAAACAAAGATGTTCTACGAGCTTCGCCGATGAAGCTCTCTGGTTCGCTGAGACCTTCAAGCGCGCGAGCTATATCTATAGACAGCGCCTCCACGTTACGAGTAAAGTAGTGTACAGGAGTGCAGCAGCAGCGGCAAAAAGCTCAAGAAGAACTCGGTTAGACGAAAATTTCGCGAGCTGAGCTTGCGAAGAGATATCGTCTGCTTATTAACGTGTATCCAGGGTTCATTTTGAAAGAGGCAAAAGCGTTTTCGATCGTACGGAGTTTGAAGGGAATTAACAGAATAGCACGGACAACAACCAAATGTAGCGTCCGCTGCTAACTACTCACGTTACTCAAGTTCATTACTGTTAATGGCTAACGACTCCGCTAGATGTCGCTGCGACTGCTCGAATTTACTTCGCTCTAATATTGACAGCTGGAACGTAGGACGCTTTGAGTTTTACTTGATGATTTTCACGCGTCAAACATTTAATCTCTTTCTTGATCATCGTTCCAGGCAAAGACTAGCAGCAAGAAATTACAAAGAGTCTCCCTGGCTGTCAGCCTGAAAGGAATCAGAATGACGGATTTAGCTACGGAAGAGGACCAACTTCAGATTTCCATATACAGGTTCGCTATATTATTAATTACTATAGAGTGGGATATCGTTATCGTGGATTATTACGTATCGTCAGATTAATTGAGCTTAGTCTTGCAATGCTGTGATAGTATCGTCACTGGCACGACAGATTTACCCTAAACCATTCAAGGCTGATAATGGCACGTGGTTCGAATTATCGGATCTGTCTTTTCGAATGATAGAAGATTCTATCAGATTGTCCCTAAGGTTGATTCGATTGCTTTTTTCATTAATTTATAAATGTCACGAGTACTGAACATTCTTTTTGGACATATTCAAAGACAGTTTTTACATTAAATATATTTTTATCAGAATATTCTCCCGAGTGAAACTCGTTTTTTATATTACCACCAAGATCTTTAATTACAACCTAATTTCTTAAAGGTTCTCCATTACTCTCGTGTCCCCCTCCTTTGTTTTTCATTATGTCAAGATAATCATCGATGTCTTTTTTTATTGGTTCTATACAGGGTGTATCTTAAGCCCCGGACAAGAAACATACCGTTAAGGACCTAATAATTTTTTTCCTTACAGAATTTCCTACTGTTCCGCTGACGCGATGCACGATCACGTGTTTGCATTTATTGCGACGAATCTCAACGAGACGATGGAGTGTCACGCTTTTTTATGTCCGAAAAGAAAAATGGCGCAAACCGTAACCCTCACCGTGGCTCAAGCATTCAATACAGCTTACGAAGCCTGGCAATTGTCTCAGGCTGATCCGAGGATGCATCACACTCAAGACAAGAGTCCGTCGTTAGAGGATGACAGAATAGGTTGGTGATTAGGATATTATTATTCGGATCGATTCCTATACATTTCAATGGTTGAGTATATTTATATTTTGACAAAAATTCTTTAATCCTCAGATTGGAAGAATGGTATAATGCCAGAGACGTCACCGAGGGAGACGAAAAAGAAACATCAAAGTGGTGGAAATATTGGGCAAAATTCAAAAGACGGTCAAAAAAATTTATTAATTGATCTATCGAACGAATCCAAGCCAGCAGGAAAGTCTTGGGTGTGTATTATAATAATATTACAATTAATTATTGATTATTGATTACCGATCATCCAGTCCATCGAATACACTCAAAATTAATACAGGCCCATTAATTGTCGTCCTAGGTCTGTTTCGAGGAGGAAGCTGCTAACGGGATTAAAAATTTGGATAAATGCACGAGCAATAATATACCTATGAATAATTTAAATCATACGTCGACACCCTCGCATCACGTTGTACCAAGACCTTCCCCAGGGTTCAAAGTGCAAAATGCTTGGGGCGAATCGCGCACCATGGACCTGATGTGCTCGTAGCACGCGTAGCCCGCGGCTGATAGCTTCCGCGACGTACCCCTAATCACGGGACTGTGGAAGCACTTATCGAATAGCAGCCAAGCAAGTAAGAAGATTTTACCCTAAGGAGAAAGAAACAGGTGTTGAGGTGATAAGCTGTGGTAGAAGGGGTCGAGGTGCGAGGGGGGGTAGTAGGAAAGGAACAAAGCCAAGACGCATTTACGCAAATTCATCCTTGCGAAAAATATCTTTGAGATTTGAGGCAGCGAAATTCCACTTTACACGCGAACAAATTTATTAATACGCAGGAAAAGATTTTTAAGAGAATATTAAGGTTGGTAAGATTTTTTTTATTTTTTTATTTTTTTTCGTCTTAACGCTATCAATGAATCTGTCCTTGTCGGTGCTTGATGATTGGCTGGATTTGAAAGAGCATCCATTTAACTCTTAATCGTGATGGTTGATGTTGCTTAATCGACTTGAGGGAGGCTGGAGTGTTACGTATCAAGTTTTATCCAGACTATTGACGTGCTTTCAAGATTCGGTCAATGGGATTATAGGTTTTAGATTAAAAATGATAAACGGAAGTGCCAAACCAGGTGATAAGCGAATTCTCCAGTTTGATGATTTATGAATAGCACGTCCATGTGACGCTGAAAAATCTTTTGCGAATCGATGCAAAGAAACGTGCTTTTTGGGGATAGTGAATCATTGAGTTTTTCTTTGGAATTGAAAAAAAAAAAATGGAGCTCACGTGACTTTGGATTTATTTTTTATTCTTATATATGTATATACATACACATGTATACGCTATGTGTATAAACGTGCCATACGATTCTGTGATCTGAATTATTGTATAAATTTTTGGTGAATTTTTTTAATGACTGCACAGTTGACAAAATTTTTTTATGAAATTTTCCAAATGGAAATTCACTGAGAAGCATGGTAGAGCCAAGGCGTGTCTGTTTGATAACATTATGGTGTCTATTATTATTATTATTATTGCACTCAGAGCGAAGTGTCGTGTCGACGTTTCTAAAAATGATCGAATAGTCGTATAGTATATAGAAAATCAATAATTTGTACACGTTGAATTATTTATTTGTTACTTCGAAAATGTAAAATTGCATAGCGCGAATTGTCACTTAGCAAAATTGTTACTTATTGATTTTTAAGACAGCTTTATTCGTATTACGTAATTTTTTCCTGTAACAGAACTTCGATATAAATTCAATTAGAATACGTTGAGCATGTTTATGAAAATATTATACAAATATTTCGATATACGTATGTTTTTATTTGAAAAATTGAAAATTATCGATATCGGTATATCCGTAAAAAATGAACTTAAAAATTATCTCGCACGTAGAATACGTAGTAGAAATATACAGTATCGTCTAAATAAAAATTGATTCGCGTACAATGACACTTTCAATTAGTGATAATTATTAAGTCAAAATTGATTAGCTGTACCCAAGTAATAAGTAACTAGTAGGTAACTCGTGTGTCGTAAGTTTTCGATGTGAAGAATTACAATAACAAAAACACGTGAGATGCAAATCATTTCGATTTAATTTGAAAAAAAATAAAAATTTTAACCAATTGACCCGTTCGGTACACAGCAAGTGCAACGAAAAATCGTTCTGTGTGGTCGGAGATCAGACAGCAATTAACAAAGGCGCTTACTATGAGCGCGTACAGTGCTGCCCAAAATTATTTGCACATTGCAATACGTTTGACCAGCCAATACTTTGTCCAGCACTGCACTGTACAAATACTTTTGACCGGCACTGTATATGCGCTTGCGTTACGTTAAGCGACTGGAGCACTTAAGGGGTTAAAGAAAAATTTACTTGAATCCTTCTTCCATAGGGACCATTACGTATACGTTAATTGTACTATCGAAATGTTGCATAATCGGCAAGTAATTTAATGAAAATTAAATTTGCTCTCGATAAGTGTACACAAATTTTAATTAAACCCTTACATAAGATTATTAAATTTTTAAAGTAAATCGAAATGATTTTTTTTCTTTTTAATATTAAAGGTGAAAAATGTTGATCATAAAAAAATATCACACACATCATTTATCTCTAAAACCATTATCCAAGATTGCAGCAGTTAATTGGTGGCTTCGGTAAAAAAATTCTTATTTGACTCTTCTATCGCGATAACGTAAAGTATACAATGCCATTATCGTTTACTAGTGTCGAAGTATAAAAAGAAATAAATATAACCCACGATCCATGTGAATTTGCAAATAATGCCAAAATATAAAAATATATAAAGAAATTGAACTGCACAAATCTTAGTAATTTTATACAATAGAATTTGCACGTACGAAACAATTAGTATTACGACATCATAGCGTAGTGGATGTATCGATAATGGAATTTTACAATATTCGCATATTAAGGTGCCAATACTTATTGTTAGTTCTTAAGGTTACGTGTAAAAATTGGTAGAAATACACGAATCCATACATATCTCCAAAAAAAGAAAGTAATTCGCAAAAATTTCATTTTTCCCAAAATTACATTAGCAATTTCCTATAAATTCTAGGCTGTCCCTATAGACGCCCTGACGTCTTACCGGGCGTAAATATCCACGCACTACGCAATCTGCGCAGCACTTCGACCAGCTGGTGTCGCGCAGGGTCGAAAAATAGATAGCAAAAAATTAAGGTCATCCCAAAAATATATGTTGTTCCCGCTTATCCGTATGCCACGAGCTATCCTCAATTCTGATATCGATCCGCGGCTCAGGCATATCTACTTGACTGCCAAAGATGATAATTATTTGGACCAATCAAAAGCATCTTGCCTTCCTATTGGCTGCTTATACAGAGATTCCCTCAGTGGTGGGAGAAAAAATACACTTGTATTATACGACGAAGGCAGAGCAGTGATAATTATTATATTGTAGAATTTTTTTCGAGAATCCACTGAAGCCGTGATTAGTACTTACATTGTCTCTCGGTACAAAATGGCTTTTTGTTAGGATTGTAAAGGGAGGAGAGTAAAATCTTTTTTTAGAACTTTTACCCTGTGGCGAAAGAGGATGAATTTTTTGTATCCTTTGGCTTTGCTTTCCCTTTGAAATTATCTCTGGACGTTGAAGAGAGTGAAACCAACTGTAGAATTGTATGGTGAGCTATCCTGCGTTATGAGTAAAGGGGGAGGGGGAGACAAAAGTGTCAAAATTAAAAATCGGGTCACTAGATACCAGAGTTGATAAAAAGGGAGAACAATTTTTGTGGATTAAATTATTATACGCGAGTTACTATAAAAAGGATACTTCTCCTTGATACGTCTCCTTGTCGATTTAAAAGTTCGATTTTTATTTTTTAACTCCTGGGTGAAAATTACTCTCGTCTATTTATACATAATCATAGTTGAAATTCTTTATTATTTGCTAAGAGACTTTGAGAATTTTGTTACCTTCCAGCAAGGTTAACGAAAGGCTAGAGGATAAAATTAACATTCATTCATCGTTTCACGTATAATGCATTTAATAAATCAGTACTTTGAAAGGCTTAACTTTATGAGATTATTTAGTAATGTTTTTACATTAGTTTTTATTTAGTATTTAGTCATTTATTTAGTTTTTTTTTACACCCTACGAAACGTTTAAAGAAACACGTAGTAAATAAGAAGAACGAAAAAATATCTAATATCTATCATGTATTTTGATGTTTTTCAATAAAAATAATATCAACTTACCCTAATCTACTTTTATACGTACAGAGTCTGGTATCCACGAAGTGTCCCCTTCAACAAAAAAAATAGAGAGACCTACAAGAAAAAGAGAATAAATGACATTCCAAATAAAAAACCACAGAAGGATACGCCCACGCGATTGAATAACCAATAAAATTTCCGTTTCACGTGAAGAATATGTAATACAAAAGAGAAACTGAAAATATCGAGCGAAAAGAAAGTACTTCAAGACATTAATCCAATTATTACGAATACCCAAAGACACCCAGATAAAAAGACTTAAGAAATAATTCCATCTAGACTAATAAATGCAGCGAGAACCTTTTCTCCTTGGATACAGGATTCATCTCTGTCAGAAAACTGATACTGGATTCTGCCTGAAGTTTGCGCTGTCCGCAAAGAGATGGCAGCACTGGCAACCAAAATACAACCCACTACGCAAGTGGCGTCAAAGGGAGCGAGAGCAAAAACAAAAGTAAAATTTCAGAGCGCAAGGCACAGTGTATTTAGTTGCAACCGAACGCCGCGCGGTGCGCTACGCGTGCTCGTGATCCTCCCGAACCTTAGCATCACTTAGCATATCATCCAGCTGCGTGAGAACGACAATAAAACTCCGTACTGTTAAAATGTCGCTCGTGAGAATACACCGTTTTTACATGACGTCGCAGTGCCGCTACGAGACGCAGATACGTACTTCGTGCCTCGTCATGAGCGTCATGACGAGCACGGCGTTCAGTGGCAGACGATAAGAATTAAGAACGCTTCGAGTCTCGAAGACTGTTTTACCTTCGCGATTGCGTCATTTCTTCCTCACTCTTTGATCCTCCCTTTCACTCGCTCTGTCCCACTTCTTGATTCTGTATCTCCTCTCTCTCGCTCCCATCATCGTCTCTTCCATTCCTACGGCTCGACACGGAAATGGCCGAGCGACATTCTCCGGATAGCCCATGCTTGATTCACCGCATTCATCCCGACGTCGCGATGATATTGATCGAATAGGATTTAAGATCTAGGTTGATCCTAGATCCTCGATCCGTAAAAAGTTTATCCTTGATGATTAAATTTATTCACAGTGACCGTTAGTGAAAGACGGTTGTCAATCGGAGTTTAAATATTTATTACTTCGTTTCCTTTTTCACGTGGCATTTACTTCGCGAATATTCGGTCTCTATTGTAATAATCTTCCTTTGTTATTAACCCTGCTATACTCTTTCATTCATAAATACTTAACTTTATTCACTAATCCCTAACGCCTCGAGTGTCTCTCGACTTCGGCTTCTCGGCTAGTAACGTTCGGCTATCTTCGTGAAACACGAATCATCAGATTCTTGTTACGTAGTCGGATACTAACAGTGCCAGACTGTGATGCTCTCGTGTGATGACCTGATGTTTTATCGGTGATCGGTAAGTTCCTACCATAAATTCTTATTTATCCAGTAAACAGAACGCATGTGTCATCGTTAACGTTTAATCAATATTGAAAGACATTACGTTCCTATAAATCTTCTACTTCTGTGACACGTGTTCCTCGTAACGACCAGTAACAAGTAAAAGTCACGACGAATGACAAATGTGACGTTTGTATCTCCAAAATCATAGACAGCATCGAATACATTGTTCTCTGCCTAATTTCATCAAATATTATTTTTTTCTATAATTTCCTTTACGTCAATCAAACGATACTATTTTGTCAAATATGTTTTATGACGCAATATAAACGTCTTAACAATTATTCAAATTCGTGACTTCCGGATGGATGTCGCATTTAGTTTCAATGTGTTTGCCAACGTTTCGCTGACGTTCTGTTACTGTATCAAAGCTTCTTAGACCTAATGGTGTAGATTGGAACGTTTGCGAAACGTCGGCGACACGTTGAACCTAGATCCGACGGCCATGCGGAAGCCATGAATTTTAATAATAACTAGGCTTCATGTGGATCCTCGTGGCGTCTTTCGGTGTCTGGTTGCGTGGAAATTTGTTGTATCCCCAAACGAGTCGTTCAAGTTTCCAAGGTAAAAAGTATATTCGGAACATGAACTACATAAATATATTATGTCAAATTTCATTAAAATCAGTTCAGCCGTTACGGTGCGATTGAATAACAGGACATCCAAACGTTCAACCATGCTTTCGGATTTCTGATATTAGTTAGAATTCTGGCCGCGAGAGGGGCAAATTTAAAAAAAGATTTGATAATTCGTTTTATTTTATCATTGCTTTCCCACAAGTACATGATGTCCTACAAATGTTTTATTTGACAATGGTCATATTATTTGTCTTAATAATATTGCCTTTGACCTTTCCGCACTTATCTTCATTGGGCACTGTTTATGCATGCGCATTAACGTTAAATGTTTACTCGCTAGAAAATACTTGATACCATAATCTAAATTGCTAATCGAATTTAGACCTGGCTTTCACTTTAAATCCAATTGTGCAACTGTGCAAGATCCATTATTATCGGAATCGACGTTTTGCTACTCCTGGGACTTATCGGGAATGTCCGTTAAATTCAATTCTCCAGTCTCGATTCTCAATGGGAATACAAATCACATTTTTAATCACTTCTGTCAATGAGTACCAACCTCACGGAACGTTGCTACCCATAAAGATACGAGAATTCGAAACGAATCTTGCACGATGGTACATTATCCGGAAACAATGACGGATACATGACGGCAATACAAATAACGTATATATCACGTTATATTAATTCAATTCGTAGCGCGAACGATATTCACGATATGCGTACGACAATTATTTTGAAAACCATATCGTGTGACGGCGCTACGCTACGATTAAAAGTTTAATGAAAATAGGCGTGAATAAAAAGTTTAGTTTTATTTGACAACCACTACCTACATACATACGTTACTTTATACTTACGGTAATTTTAATGCAAGCCAAGAATTACTTTAATAATTTACATTTTTATATTACTACGAAACCTCTGACTCGTTATCTATTTATCACCGGAGTCATAATTTTTAGTAAAAAAAAAAATTAAAATAAAAAATCACTTGTCATTTCGAACAATTGAACGTAGAATAATCAAATTTTTATTTGAACTCCTCGAACGTTATTTCACAATCGATAATCGTATTAACGTGGATAATTGACGTTTGTCATTGACAATTAATACACGTGGGTGACAAAGTACCAGCATGTGCGAAATACGATATTTCATGCTATTACGACATAGTGGGAGGCCCAAGAACGGCAGGCAATCTTATTGATTGCAGGTATACCGCTTGTGGTTTATGAACGTGTCGCTACAGTCATTAATGTCTGTCGGTATAAATAGCAAGCAATAAAATTAGCTTTTATGTAAATTCGAATATCATTAAAAAATAATTACACCAATCTGCACAAATAGATAACATTATATCATGATAATAAATATATAATCACTTATTAATAATCAAATCAAGCAATATCAATATGTTCAAATTACACGATAACTACTACATTGATGGGTTATCAAGAAACTCGTTAATGCAATTTTAACGTGAATCCAATTATACTGATAACCCGTATACTGTATCACTAGACACCTGATTATACGCATTCGACTCGAGTAGCTTATCGATAAGCAATCACTGTCCTGTACTATTGTGATTTTAGCTCTTTTTTTATTGAATACCGACCTATGCTTATCACGTATGCGCATGTTGGATTTGGGATTCCAGGTTATCGTCAACTGATAAGACTACCAAAATACGTCCGCTAGTCATTTATAAGCGTTATCAAATGAACTGGAGGCTATATAGGGAACGCGTACAT